TAAACTAGGTACAAAAAAAAAAAAAAAAAAAAAAAAAAACAAAACAAAACAAAACAAAACAAAAAATATTCTTTGATCTATAATCACACACATCTATTCTCTGAAAAATTTTCTGAGAAGTGTTCTTCAATTTTTGTTTACATCCTCTTTTAGAAACTATACACTGAAACGTATAGCTTTAAGCCCATCTTTCCTGTGTGAGGTTTACAGAAAAACTAGAGCTTCATTTTTATATCTATATTTGAGAGATAATTCTTGTAGCTTTCTGTGAAAACAAAAACACATTTTTTTCAACCTTGTAAGAGTGCAGTAAACTCAGTGTTCTTAACTCAGAAAGTCTGTGTAAAATTCGTGGAGAATTGCTCCATTTGTAAAGAGGTTGCTAGCACCCTGTAAAGTTAGACTATAGTGAAAAATCTCAAATGAAGTTTGAGGAGTGGACGCAGGCCAAGTTGAAACCGGGCTACTATAAATTTATTTGCCTCTTTCTCTCTTACCTCTTTATTTTATTTAAATTGCTATAACTATATTTCACATTTTCACTGTGCTAAAATCATTAACTAACATATTTGTTAGAACACTTGTTTTAATTATTTTTATTTCATTAACTATTTTTATCTATTGTGCCAGTCATAATTTTTATTAGAGCATTATTAACTTTTAATTATAAAAATCTAATTCACCCCCTCTTAGATTGTCTTTTGGGTAACACTTATTAATTACAATTTTTTATTTAAAAGAAATCGTGATCAACATTAAGATAATAATAATTTTATGAGTTAAATTTAAGCATAAGAAATTATGCTCTGTTTGGTAGAGTTTTGGAACTTTAGTTCAAGACTTTGATTTGCATATGGTATTTGTTTACGGTTTTCAAAAATTAATTCCACTCACTTTTGAAAACTCTGTCCAAGACAGAAAAATTTAGGCTAACCGAACGTCCCACCGGTCGTCCAACTGATTGACCGGAACAGTACAATTTTTTTTTTTTTGTAATTGACACATGTAAATTTTTATATATTCAATTAAAAAAATATATATTTTTTTATGAGTTTTGAATAGAATTTTGAATTGTGTTTTTGGTTATGAGTTGTAAATTTTTGTATCAAATATCATTTATCACATAAAAAATTCTCACTTAATTCAAAACTCTTTTCAAAACTCATTCATCAAACAAATTTTTCACACTCAAATCATAATTCCAAAACTCACAAACTCAAAATATTCAAATTATATTTAGAAAACTCTATCAAATGCAACCTAAAAATCATTATTAATAGGAACAAATCAAAATTCTATAATAGTGTATAATAGCTCGGTGTGGGATCACAATATAAGTATATAATTTTAGCACAAAATTATGAATCAAAATTCATAATTTTATAAAATAAAAACACATAATTTATAGCATAAATTATTATAAAATTTATTTAATTTTTATTTGACAGAAAATATTAAAGAGATGATATTGCTTATATATGATGTGTTTTGAATAAAAATTATTAAATAATTTTAAAATATCATATGGCATTGCCTATGTGATGCTCAAAGCATGAGAAATCACAAATCGCACTAAATAGTTCATCAACTACCTGAAAATAATAAGTTAATTATATTCAATCCATAAGATTTCTCACTACATTGATTTAAACTACTACATAAATAATACCATATAGTACTCTCAAAATATCAAATAATTATTATTGTAAACAATATAATAAATCATTAATCAATGAATATGTTAAAAAAAATACATTTTATATATAACCATAAAATAAAAACAAAAACAAAAACAAAAAATTTAAAATGGAAGGGGACCCCTGTTCCCCGAACCTTCTTTGACCCCGCCCCTAATTGGTGCTGTTTGGTATAACTGATAAAACAGATTATAAATTATAACTTAACAGATTATAAATTATGACTTTAATCAGAAGTTGTTAATCTGTTTGGTATAGCTGTTAGATTATAGATTTAAGTTGCTGAGTAGTGTTTGTTAAATAAGCTGTGTGTAGCTTTTTCAATTAATTTTTATTTTTTATTATTCACTATTTGTCTACATTTTTTATAAAAAATAATAATAATATTTTATAGTCCATTTGAGTCTTTTTCTATTTTTAAAAAAATAAAAAATAAAAAAATCTAAGAGTATAACCGTGAATTAATATGTCCACAGCAGAAGCTGATAATCAGAAGTAAGGAATGAGCAGCTTCTCAGAATCAGTTTTTTTGACTTAAAATAAGTTGTTAGAATCATAAGCTGTTTGAAATAAGTTTAACCAAACAGTCCAAAATAACTTTTTAAAAGCCAGAAGCTATAAACTGGCTCAAAAAAACCCCACCAAATACCCTATTACATACCTGTGAGGCGTGTGTACCACAATGTTTCCCATCAAAATATATTATATAAAAAGATGTAAAACAAGAATTAAAATTACAAGACCATCACAATCCAATAAACCATTCTTAGCACCAACCCCTGGCAAAATAAACCATTCTTATTACGAGAAAATATATATATATACAATATGATCGGAATAAATTAAAATATTAAAAAGTTATTAAAAAATCAAAAAGTCAACAACTCATAAAAAAAGTCAAAAATTCCTTTTTCTTTTTACTTTTACACATCTTTTCGTAAAAAATTAAAAAATCATCCAAAACATACTCATTTGTTTGGGTCCAGCTTGTCTCAAGTTGAGATCAAGACTGGACCTGTCCAATTCGGCTCACGGGACCCATTTTTTGGGCCCGTTTAGATAATCTGAACCGTCAATATGTACAACTCGTCGAGTACTACATGCCTGTAAAAAATCACGTTGATCGGATATCAATAGCTATGTGATCGAATCAGTTTTGTATGAAAAAATAAACGATGAAACAATTAACGATTGATAAAAAACTGTTTTGTTCACATAGCTATCGATATCCAATCAACGTGAATTTTTATAAGTATATAGTACTCGATGATTTTTACATATTGAACGGTTCAGATTATCAAAACGAGACCCGTGGTGGACCCTCACGGATCCAACAGCACGGTTCAATCCGATTTTAGACTGGACCAAACCCACTGCTAATTTTTTTTACATCACATTTTAACTAAAAAATCAAAAAATTATTAAAAATATCTGCTCCCAAACGAAGCCAAAGTATGCTCCAATAGTCTGTTAAGAGCATCTCTAATGCACTAGGTATATAATGCTTGTTAGGTAAAATGCCTAGTATAACTGACTTTTTTCAACTCCAATGCACTAGGGCATGTAATCAGGCATTTTAGCTCAACTCACATTCACTAGCTACATGTAGCTAGCCTTCAAGGTTAGGCAAAATGTATTTAATCATTAAGATTATTTCTCTCCATCTTTGTTGCTGATGTGACATTTTATAAAATTAATAGTATTTGAATGAATAGTTAAAATAAAAAACATGATTGGAACAGAAATACCAAATAATTGATAGACAAAATAAAATATATACTTTATAATAATATTTAGATAAGTAAAATACCTATTGCCGTTAGAGATACTCTAAACAGTTGAATATGCCGAAGCGTCTTGATAAACAGGCCCACAAAGAATGAAAAATAGAGCCTATGAGCATTAAAATTTGAGGAATCATTTTCTTTAAGTCTACAGAAAAGGACACTCTAGCCTTTCAATTTAATAAGGACGATTAAAACGAAATAATTATTGTTTGGCCTTGTGACCATTTCTATAATGACAAGTACATAATTATATTTATAATATGATTTTAATAAAACGAAAACGAAACAATTCAAGTTATATATACCATTTAATGAAAGCTTCACAGTATCCAGACTCACGAGAGACCCACCCAAAGGGCAACTAGCGTCCCCATTCCCATATCCATATCCAGAGGGACCACAAATCTCATTCCTGAAACGTTTGAAGGTACTGCATAGGACGCGTGTCACTGAAAGAGTGGCTTTCGTACTAATAGCGTCAGGGTCAGGTCTCTCAACGCTCCCTTCTCCACTCTCTAGAGCTCTGTAACACTCCCCCTTAGAAGCGCTTTCATTGTTCAATATCTCAGGTCAATTTTCACCCAATTAAAATAATCAAAAGATACACAATTCAAGCATCAAAGTAAGATATAATTTTGTTTACCGAGGAGCAACAATAAACCGTAGTCCTATCTCTCACTGTATATGCTATTAATAAAAAGTCATAATTACCCTTTTTATCTTTTTCGATCATTATGTAAGGTTAAGTTTGGCATGTGATTAAAAAGTTAAAAAATTATTATTATTTATCAAAAGTTAAAAATTATAACTGTATAATTCACCATCTTAATTTTTCCTTACACACTAATTTATACAATTTTTGCCATGTGATTAAAAAATCAAAAAATAACCCAACAATCATATTCACTTGCTTATTCCCAATTTTTTAAAAATAATTTTCAAAAAATTATACTTCTAATTTTTGTATTTTTATTTTTACTGAATTTTTTTAATATTTTGAACAATTTTTTTAATTTTTAGACATACCTAACATAAATATACCCAAAAAATAAAAAAAAAAATTGAAAAAAACCTTTTAAAAATTCACTAAATACCAAAAATATAAAAAAAATACGAGAATTCAGTATATTTTTTATATTTTTATATATTTATTAATTTTTAAAAATAATTTTTCATAAATTTTTTATTTTTTAGATACATCTAAGTAAAGTACATCTCAAAAAATAAAAAAAATAATTAAAATTTTAAAAATATTCATTAAAAATAAAAAAATATAAAAATCAAAAAATTCAATTTTCAAAAAATTTAATCAAGAAAAATCAAACCAAACGCAATGATTTTCTCCTTCACTTTCTAATCCAAAAAGTCAAAAAAATACATTTATTTAAAACATCCCAAACAACTCTCGAGAGCTTTGACAAAGAAGAAAAAGAAAAATTAGATCATTTCTTCTTAATTAGAGAAAGCAGGAGTCATGCCGAGAGTGAGAAATTGTAAGGGGAAGCAGAAAACAACATTCAAACAACACATGATATTAGAGTCAATGACTGCCAGCTGTCGGTTGAAGATAATCGATGTTACTTTCCAAAATCACCAAACCAACATGATCTGTATTCCAAGTTACTACTGTCATTTTAGCATCCGATTAGAGACAAACAAAAACATACTAAACAGTAAATGATAAATGGTTGAGATCGGACGACATCTAAGCCTCCACCTCAGCACACTTCTTAGCGGGAGAGCAAATAAGCCAGATGTTGCCGTAGGGATCCTTCACTTTCCCGACGCGCCCGCCGCAGCCCGCGCCATCACCTTCCACGACTTCACCCTCAGAGACAGCACCAGCGCTAACGGCCTTCGCCACAGCGCCTTCCACGTTCTCAGTCTCCAAGCACATCACGAATCCAGCTCCAGGAGTCTTGACCCTGGCCAAATACAACGCCCAACGCATCAACACATCTCTCAACTAATAATGGAGTTTCTTTTCTTTATTTTTTGAAAAATGCTAGAGGTCACAAATTTTCTACCAAATAAATGACCAAATGTCTCACATGGGTGTGGGGCCCGCAAAATTTGATAAAAAATTTGGTGTCCCTAGCATCACTCTTATTCTTTTGAAGAAAACTAATAATGAATCATTGCATCTCCATCTAGTTCCTCTTAGAAAATCATGTAAAAAATAAAGCAAATAATTTTGTTTGTAAGTGGTCAAAGTTGCTTTGAAACCTAATTTTAAACAAAACAGAAGGATACAAAAATGCAGAGAGATCCCACCGCATGTAGACGAGAGCAGAACAGTAAAACAGGCGCATACAGAATAAACCGGACAAAGCAAACTCCTCAAAACCGTAAGAAGACGAAGAAATAGACGTAGTCAACAAAGAAATACCAAAAGCAGCCTTAAAACCAGAGAACAAAAGATGAAATAGCGTCGCTTGCTAACAAACGATCAATAATCAAACACAATACAAGCGAAACAGACAAGACTCGAAGCATGAACAAACCTGAATAAAAATCAGTAACAATATAAAGCAACAAAAGTATCGTATGTTGAAAAAGGAAAAAAAAGAGTCCATATAAGACCAAAAGTGACGAGAAAAGCGGTTCCAAGGCTTTGAAATTCCATAAACGCAATTTACGCTCGTCATTATGCACGATCTAGATGAAAACGTAAACCGCCACGAACAAACGTCAACAAATTTAAGCAAAACATCATTTATCGCATAAGCATCTAAAATATAAAATAATAGCCGTAAAACCTCTGCTGAATATGAGAAGAAACGTCTCACAGATCTAGATACATACAGATCGGACCTAGAATACGAAGAATCACAGGAATAAAAAGGGAAATATGCAAGACTTACGGAGCAGAAGAGTCATCAGCGAGATCAGAGACGAGAATGGAAGAGGAACCTAGCTTCAGTTCAGCAGAGAGGACGAGAGGGAGCTCCTGCTCTGCCTTCCTCTTGGGGTGCATGGTACGTTTCACCTCCTCCGCTCCAAACGCGGCCTTGTAGAACTCTACAGCGTCGTTGGCCTTCGGTGCTTCCACGAACAGCTGAGGCTTCATCGCCGAGAAGGTCACCGCCTTCGAGACTTGGTGCTCAGCTCCTCCATTCTGAACCTCCTCAGCCATTAACGTTGGTTGAGAAGAGGAATAAGAGAAATGTAGAGAGAGAATGCGAAACCCTAGGAGAGAGAAACGAAAGAAGAAAAAAAAGTACTGAAAACAGAAGTGGATAAAACCAAACAGAAATGGCTCGGTAGCAGGTAACGGGTATTTATAGAAGAGAGGAAGCGGAACCGTTCGGGCTTGCAGGGATAAGATGGGTATTAAAATAATTGTCCGTCTAAGCTAGCCCTTTATTTTTCTTATTATTTACCACTGTACCATACTTTGGGAGCTTCTATTTACACACACAACACACTTTCTACACATCTCCCCTCTCTACACTTTCCACACACCTCCTTCATTAAGTGTGTGTGGAGAGGGGATTTAGTGTGTGTAAAAAGAAGCTCCCCCATACTTTGTTGCTTACACTTTCTGAGTACATGTAGATCCTATAACAAAGTAATTATAAAGCTTAATTTTTTGTTATTATGTTTTTTTTCTTTTTGAGAAAACACATGTATGTATTTTTTAAAGATTTTATTACTTTTAATTCATAAATTAAAAGTTAAAATAGTATCAAACACATTGTTATAGATTTCAATATATATATAAATAGTCGTAATAAATTACACCAAAGTAAACGTATATACTTTTCAAAAATATTCTTGGGTGTAGAAATTCAAGAGTAATATATAGGGTGTATAATAAATCCCAAATATCCCTTGTTGGGGAATTGACTAATACAGTCAAAAAAAAAAATTATTATAAATTATTATATTATTTTTTTATAAAAATTTAATTACCATATTAAAATAGTCTCATTCCTTGGTTAATCTCTTCATGTTCTCATCATGCTAGCGGGCAATGCCTCTCATCAATGCAATATTCATTGGCCGTTGAGTGAGTGACAGAAGTGTGACCTTGAGTTTTACCATGAGTAGTAAGATGTGTTGCTGTTGTGCTAGGCTCTGGCAACAATAATTGTGGCCATACTATCATCGGGGGCAGTCAAGTGGTGTTATACGCTCATTAGGGGCATTTTAGCCCATTCTCAGGTTAAGGCCTCGTTTGGGAATATGTTAATTTAGTAATTTTTTGGCTATTTAGTTAAAAAAGTAGGTAAAAAAAATTTGTATGTTTGGGATGACTTTTTGGCTAATTACGAAAAGATGTGCAAAAAGTAGAGAGAAAAGATAATCTTTGACTTTTTTGTATGGGTTGTTAACTTTTTGGCTAATTTAGTAACTTTTTGGCTAATTGGCTAAAATAACCTCTTGCCAAACGAGGTCTAAGTTTGGCATATATAAAATAATTTATTTTTTTATTATTTTTTTTATTATATTACCTTTCTATTTTTTTTTACATCTTTTAATAAAAAGATAAAAAGTGCACTTATATAAGTCATTCCAAACAACCCCTTAATGATTGGAGTTAGGGTTTGCAGTTCGATTGCGATCAGAGAATTTTTAATTCGTCATTCATTTATTAGATTGGCGGATTGAAAAAAAATCAATCCGTATCTGTATGTCGAATTGATTATGCGGACTGAACGGATTAACGAATTGACAGATGGATACGAATCGGTTTGGCAGTTTAAATTTTTATAAATTTTGAATATAATATAACAACCAGTCAACATTTTTTTATAACAATCCAACTCAACATTACCAAAAGATTATAAAGTAAATTGTCAAATACCAATAATAAATATATATAAAAAAATCATGTATTATCAAAAATATTTCATTACTTTTTTTATTAAAAAACTATTTAATTTGATTTTTTATAAGAAAATGACAAACTTAAGCCTTATATTTTCTATACAAAAATACCAAATATTAGCACTTGCCATTTGATAAAATGATTTTCAAATTGAAAACACAACAAAATATCTAAACTCTTTTCTAATTGAAAACACAAACAAAATGTCTAAATAAATTGAAAGCACAAAGTTTTACAAATTATTAGAGGTGCTTGCGATTTGGTAGTTCGGTTGCGGTCAAAAGAACCTTAAATCCGCCATCCGTCTAAAATTAGACAGATTGAAAAAAAATCAATCTGCAACCGTCCGCTTGTCATCACGCATCAAAAAAAAATGGGACGAATTGGTTCGATTTGGCCGGTTTGGGGAGATCAGAATATCCGCTCAACCCTAATTGGAGCTATTCATTCTATAAAATTTATCTATATATTATATAAGGGGGGAAAAAAAGTTTATAACCCACAAGCCTTCTAGAAATCCAAAGTTCTCAATCTAAATTTCATAATTTTTTTATTTTTAAAATTTTTTAAAAACTTCTATTGGTTAGGCCTCGTTTGGGAACCCTCTTTTTTAGCTAAAAAATCAAAAAGTTACTAAATTAACCAAAAAGTCAACAACCCATACAAAAAAGTCAAAGATTATTATTTTCTCTCCACTTTTTGCACATCTTTTCGTAAAAAGTCATCCCAAACATATTAATTTTCTTTAGCTCATATTTTAGCCAAATAGCAAAAAAATTACTAAATTAGCATGTTCCCAAACGAGGCCTTAGTTCTTATTCAAGCAAAAACAAACAAATAAATAAATAATATTTCTTTATTTATGACTTTCAAATGGAAACTAAAAAAATGAAAAATTTAAATTTAAGGGTTATTAACTATGAAAAACAATCTATTAATTTAGATTTAAAATTAGCACAATATAAATTAAAAATTATAATGATCTATTCCTTGAATTATAAGTTTTAAATACAAATTTAAAATTATCATAATTAACTTATAATTTTTAGATTTAAGAGCAATAAGATTGACATTGAGATTATTTATATATTTTACAAAAGAACGATTTTAAGAAGAAATATTATGAGAGTTTCAAAACCTCATACAAAATCTATTTATTATTATAATTGAAAAACATTGTTATTCTATTAAAGCTTAAAGTTGCAATTATTTTATTTTTTTATTTTTAAAATATTTGTTAATGTGTGTCACAATATAATTGGTTTATAAATTAATTTTACATTCGTAAAATAAAATTTTAAATTTAGATTATTCCTTAAATTATGTTACCAGAATTAGATCAATATCCATTCCTTAATTTATGCAGCTTTTACTAAATTATAAAATAAAATTTAAATTTAAAATATTTTTTAAATTATGTTACTACAATTAAAATGAAAATAATATTCACATGTATCATAATGATGTGTTATAATATTATTGGTCTAAACATAATATGTTAATAAATACATTTATTCAAATTATTAATCATTATTAAACGTTTATATATTTTTTTTTTGTCATTTTGCTTTTAAATTTTATTTTTAAAAAAATTATGTCCTTCTAAACTATAAGGACTTAAAGAATAAATTTTTTAAATACAAATATTTTTTCAACAAAATGCAAAAATATTAAGAAAATGAATAATTTTTTTAACAATTTCCAAACATAATGGATTTTATTTATAAAAAAAAAAATTGTCTCAATTGTCAATTAAAGAAATTAAAATAAAAAAAATATTTTTTTTCTTAAATAGTAAAAAAGTGACTTTTGCTAAAATTAAACAGAAATAAACATTTTTTTCCTATTAAAAGTGATAGTTCATGAAACTTTTTTTTTTTTGTATAATCAAAAAAAATATGTGAGTTACATGTGATAATTTATTGTTTTAGCATTTCTACATACCCACACTTTTATCCACAATGATGTGACAAGGGAGTTGGATTCCGTGTCATTGCATGTATAGCAAATCAAGAGTTGTAAATATAATTGTGGATTTTTTTTGTAAAGTAATGTTAGGAATACCAAAATTACTATAAAATGTTTTACCAAATGTTTCACATGGAATAAGTCCCACATAAGTGTGGGGTCTACATCCACGTGAGACATTTAGTTAAACATTTGGTAGAAATTTTGAGGCCTATATCATTTTCCTTCTTCTGGGTCTCAAACATTTTTTGTATTGTTCATCTACACTTTTGAGTATTTGCAAAGTCAATTAAACAAATTAAAATAAAAAATGAATTTTTTTTTTGCTCAAATTGCTAAAAAGTGAGTTTTGCTAAAACAAATAAAAATAAATTAGTGTGTTTGGTTTGAGTTTTCTGAATTAAATTTTTTGAAAATTGAGTTTTTTGATTTTCGTATTCTTTTGTTTTTAGTGAATATTTTTTAAATTTTAAACATTTTTTTTATTTTTTTAGATGCACCTTAGTTAGATGTATCTAAAAAGTAAAAAATTTGTGAAAAAATATTTTTTAAAAGTAATAAATACATAAAAATACAAAAAAATCTACTGAATTCTTTTTTCTTTTTTTTTTATTTTTGGTATTTAGTGAATTTTTAAAAGATTTTTTTTGCAATTTTTTTACTTTTTAGGTGTATTTATGTTAGGTGTGTCTAAAAAGTAAAAAAATTGCTTAAAATATTAAAAAAATTCAGTAAAAACAAAAAAAATACGGAAAATAAGAAAGTAAAATTTTCTGAAAAGTGTTTTCCTGAAAAATGAAAACAAGCAAGCTGAATGTTATTTTTTTAATAAAAGTGATGGTTTGTGAAATATCTTTTTTTGTTTTTTTTTTTTTAAATGAAGATTATAGGTGATAATTTATTGATCATCTATAATAATTTTCAGATCAAATAAAAATGCCATTCTAAATTTTTTTTTTCTTATCCTTTTTTTTTATACCGATACTTTTATTTTGTAGAAATTTAACTTTATCATATTTAAATATTTTATTGTAAATTTAAATTTTTTTTTTTGGAGAATCATATTTAAATTATTTTATGCCATTATAAAAAATCAATTTTTTAATATCAAATTATTCGATAATTTTTTAAAAAGTATTTGTTTGTATTTATTAATATTAAATTTTTAATTAATCTCATTCAATATTAAAAAAATTAGCTAGTAATTTTATATATTTGTTTCAATTGCTCAGGTTATTTTTTGTCTTTGTCAAAGTCCATTCAAATTTATTCTATTTTTTTAATTGTACATAGGTTCTCACTAAATTAAAAATTATGTTGTAAAATCTTTAAAATTTTACAGGTTTTACTCGAGTTGTTTGGGTTCAACTTGCCCAAATTTACAACTTTAGCACGGGATGAAAGTTACATCATTGAAATTTTGACAAATTAAAAATTGATACATAAATTGTGAAAAGTATAAAAC